GTGTATGATTGGTTGGCTGAAAGTACCAATAAAATCAGTGGCAAAGATACGTCACAAACAAACACATTTTCCTCAGAACATAACTGAGAGTTTGGTTCCGTTGTACAGGAAGGTCATTTTGTGCAGACTGAGTTAACCAAAGAAGATTCAGGCACCGCTAATGAGCTTCAAAACTCATCTTAAGGGTCGAGTTTGTCCGTTTATATGTACAGTAAAATAGAAGCCCCAATTTAAAAACTTAAAAGTAATGCAGCATTACAAGGATTAGTGAGTGTAATGCGATTACTAAATTTCTCATTTGTAATCCCTTACACCACCGAGAAGAGAAACTACAGTTCAGTAATGAAACCAGCAGCTGAGCAAATGTCAACATGTGTGCACTCGCTCTGTTAACATACAAACACTTAACATGTCAGATTAGCGTTTAGAGTTGCTGCTTCTTAGCATGACAACAGTCTAATCATTTGCATATAACGCTGACATTTTAGCGCGTCAGCATGTCGAGTTAGTGCGACGACAGGAGGGAGTTTAGAGCCTTATTGACAGCATGGAAGTGTGAGGGTCCAAATCAAAGGAGTGAACGCTGCAGAAACACAACCTGCGAGAATAAAAGTGCTCGTATGCATTCACACCCACACTAAGAGGCTGCAGAGCCAGAGCAGCCATGTCTCCTCCTGCTCATCTGTGGCCTATGTTAATATGATTAGACTGGATTATGGTAATGTGCAGGGGGATCTGGTGGGTGTGGGGCGACGCTTTGCTGCTCTCGTTTCGGGGAATAGTTAATTGGTTGGGCTGCTTTGATGTTGTGGTGATGAGAGAAGGGGGTTGGTGGGAAAAGGCTGGCAAAGGCGCCCAACGACTCAAGCCCATTTTATTTTTGGCCTACGAGGGTTCCAAGCTGGCGAGCGGTAAAAAGGAATGAAACCTGATGAAACCAATGAGAAACTGTGCAGATCTGGAGCCGAAACACTGCGAATATTCAGACGAGTGTGGGAGAAACACGAGCCACATTTCTATTCTCCCCCGCAGAGTGTGGCTTGTTCGTCTCTGGTCGCCCTGAGTTTTGTTTGTGATCTGTTAGGTCTGGTACCTGTAATATGTTTCGGTTAATAATTCATCAGAACTGGTTTGAAAAAGTCCTGAGAGACGCTGATCAGCTTGCCGGGGTGTTGGCGGCGCGATTAAAGTCGGCTCCTAACAGAGCGACGCTCGGTACGAGATTTTTACACGTCACTGTACTATTACGCAACTAATTTGAACATTAAGACCACCTACAGTTAAACAACAAATTATTTATGATTTTTTTATTTGACCAGCAGGTTTATGCTTTTTTGCAAATGACACAAACCAGCGACGAGTTGATGAGACATAAAGACAAATTAGATCTATTGTTGTGCAGTTTTTACCACTTCCAAACATCTTCACACCCTTTCTCAGTTATCAGTGTTTAATGCTTTTTTGCAGGGGTCTCGAACTCCAGTCCTCGAGGGCCTCTTCCAACACACCTGATTCAAATGATCAGCTCATCATCAAGCTCTGCAGAAGCCTGATAACGATCCTGATCATTTGAATCAGGTGTGTTGGAAGAGGGAAACATCTAAAACATGCAGGATTGCGGCCCTCGAGGACCAGAGTTCGAGACCCCTGCTTTATTGGCTAACGTATCAATCAAATGATCTTTTAATTGCTAACAGGCTCTCTGCATGTATTCACTGGGATTTTGGACCTCCTTCTTTTGCAATGATCTCCCAGTCTTTGAGGTTGGATGCCACTCTGGTCTTCAGTTTCCTCCACAAACTCTTGATGGGATGTTTATCTTGTTAAAAAGTCCAAAGCTGCCCCAGAACAAGTTTTTTTCTGCAGACTGCCTGATGCTGTCCTCTGATCTCACGGTGCTGTTTACTTTGACTTGTTCGTCTGATCCATCGGCTAAAAAAAACATCCTCAAAATGTCACATTTAAACCACCGCGTTTGACCGTAGAGACGCTGGTCTTGGGGTTGAACGCGTCTCCTATCTTTCTCCAAATGAAAGTCAAATCCTCGTGTTCAAACAACTCCACTTTCCTCACATCTAACCACAGATCTGTTGACCAACAGATTTTTCCTTTTCAGCCAGCTGAGCTTTCGTGTTATTGTCTTGGAGAAGTGGAGTTCTTCTTGGTCTGCTGGAGTGTCTGGTTGACATGTTGCCACCAGAACTGTTCAGATTCACCAGGATGGTCTCGGTGCTGACCCTTGGTTTCTTCTTGACCTCTGTCATGGCTATTTTTGCCAGTGCAGGACTTACATTTGGCTTCCCACCAAGACTTTACATACTACTGAACTCCTTGAACTTTTGGCTGATGCTTTGCACTGTCACCGGCACCTGGAAACTCTCGGTCTTTATGGCCTTTCCTTGTCTTACAAACTCTCTTTCAGCGATGGACTCTAACAGAGAGCTCTTTGGTTTCAGCCATGATTTGCAAGAACTACTACGTGAGCCGCTCTCAATTTATAGTGTGTTAAATTCTCTAGAAGCAGGTAGAAATTATTAGAAAGCTGCAAATTCTCGAAAAAATTTTAACAGTTTCAAATAGTATGAATAATTTCAGATATGGCATTGTCATAACATTATTCAAAAGAACATAGAAATAGATCAAATTCATCATCATCATCTTCAACACAGAGACCTCCTTTCTTTTGGCTCTTGTTTAGAACATTTGCAGCCCAAAGAAACCTGTTGCTCAAATAGAAATGGCATTGTTGTGAATAAATTTGCTCTTAAATGTTCATGATATTGTGTAGGAGCAGACTGGATGCTGTGTTTGGTTCACAGCAATGTTAAGCTGGCTGGTACGTACCAAAGTTACATCCACATAACAACCAGAACCCAAAGTTTCCCAGCAGAACACTGGTCTGTAACGAGATGATTAACGTCATTCACTTCACCTGTCAGCGGTTTTAATGTTGTGGCAGATCGGTGCGCTTAAAATTCCACATTTCCAGCCCCCACAGGTGGAGAGGTCGGCGTGCAAAAGGATGCTCATTTTAACTTCAATGGTTTTTACTTACACAGTCACAGCAGGAAAAAAATCTGCTGCAGTTTATTTCCATCTGCGGGTCAAGATTTGTAAGTGCGTTGCTCTCGTGGCCTGAAAACAGCAGGGCCAGCAGGTGTGCTGCCTGCACAGGAAAACACCTGCTGGGACACTGGGATGTGCAGATAAGCAAACATTTATATACTTTGTAAATAAGTATTCAAATGGCCTTCATAAGTAGGCCAAGCCTGCTCGCAGCTGTGTCGAGTACCTGATCCGAACCAAGAGCAACATTAATATTTACATAACTTGCTTATACAAATTTATGTTTGCTCACATTAAAAGAGCAAAATGCAAATGTGGCGGTTATTTGACAGCAGAGGCTGAAAAACAAGCAAATGAGAACAGCTGTAGAGCAGATTAGGTGATCATCGAGAGTCTCCTTTACGTGGCAGGTATGCGATTGGAGAATATTCTTTGATCAGATAAAGATAAACTTGTTGGTCTCAGATGGAGTCCAGCATGTTTGGTGTGAGTCTGACCAGCGAATCATCCTGTCAGTGAAGCACAGAGGATGATATGAGGCTGCATGGGCGTAAAAGGTGTTGTGGAGATAATATTTATGGATGAATGTCTGTGGATGAACCAAACACTGTCTGGCTAGATGACTCTCAGGCTGCAGTAGCTCGAAGAAGAGGAATATTCCAGCGTGAGAATCACACAGTGCTTTGTACGAGGTGGACACGATACGATACGACTTCTTTAAATGATCAGTTTACACTTTAAAACTCAGTTCATACTTATAGAGTCAAACCTGAAAGACGTGACCAACAGGACCGAAACATGAAGCCAGAGCGGAGGAACAAAAACTGCAGTTCCTCAAATGTCCACTGGAGGCTGGATCCAGAACTGAGTCCATCTCCTCAGACCTCCGTGTTAAAATGTCCGACTTTACAGCAGAGATAAACATGTTTAAAGCCGGGAACAAAAACTCTTTTGGTCTCTACAGCTAATTTCCTTATTCGTGAAAGCTGTAGAGGAGGTGATGTTTTATGTATTTCACCTGTTTGAATTGAATCAAGGCTTAAAGTGATGTAGACAAGTTTGTCCATGGCCTCCCTCAGCTCCACTCACACTCCATCTTTTTGCTATTTTTAGATTTGCCAGGAGTTTAACGGAATCAGGAACGGATAAAAATGTCGTAAAATGTCCAGCTTGAAGACCTCTTATCATAAAGATTGTTTTCTTCTGACCCACTGGCAGATTTAAAAGGCCTGTTCTATTTTTAAAAAACGCTAAAACTGAAATAGAAAGAAACTGTGAAACCAGGAGGAACTGCCAGGAAAAAATACCCGCATCTGACCTTAAAATCCTGGTATTTCATTCAAATCACTTTTCTTATTTAAAAAATTGCCAAAAATGAACTGTTTTCTCTGACTTGACTCAGCAAAAAACTAAAAAATCTGGGCTCCTAAGCACAACTGTTAAGTCATGAGTGACTCAGCTGCGGCAAATAGTCACGTATAAAAGATTTAGGAGTTTTATATATTTATATATAATACATATATATTATATATAAATATGGAAATACATTAAGAATGTAAGTTGTAAAATATCTGAAGCATGGAGAGTTTTTTTTCAGCATCGGAAACCACTTAAAAATTGTCCATGTTGACTCCTGTCTCTTTGTAAAGAAAAAGAAATTACATTTTTATTTTTGTCTTTTTTTTTTTTTTGTAATGATTTATGGGATTCTAACTGCTTCATACTTCACAAAAGACATTTTTGAGTTCTCTCTCATGATTGTTCTGTTTCCATCGAGGTGACAGACTTTATATCGCAGTGAACAATGAGACAAGAAAACAAGAGAAACTGCTTCAAGTTCTCGGATTCGACCTCATAGTGAAACATTCAGAACTAAACGTGGACCTGAAGACTGGTTGCGTTTCCCCGATTAAAAAAAAAAAAACTAAGTGGAGTTTCATAAGTAAAAATCTTGCAATTTTATTTGCATATAAAGGCAGCTAAATATATCACAATGAACTGAAAGAGAGAACTAACATTTCCATGAAGAGGGATACAATCAGAGAAAGAGAGCGAGAGAGGAACGGAGCACGAAAAGAGCATTTACAGCGGCAGAGTTGAGACAACTATTGGCAACATTTTTTTTTGTGCTAGCAAGATTGCATTTACACACAGTGCAAAATTAGAAAAAAAACAAACAAACAAACAAAAAAAAAAAGCAATAAAACACAAATACTATCAGATTTACACTTTTAAAAAGACAACTTAACCATGTTTAGGCAGGTGTGTTGTTGGGAACAATCAGCACCTGTTGGATTGTGACTGACAAATTCTTTCCTCTCTCATCCGAAATGAGCGTCTACCCTACTGGGAGAGTCCATAGAAAAACATGAAAGAAACTTCTGATGGGAGCATTAAAGAAACATGGCAATCATACAGGTGCACACAGAAAAAAAATGCACCTCATTTTCTTTTTTTTTTGTTTTTTTTCCGTCAAACACAACTTTTAGTACAGATGTTTTACAACATGAATATATAATATATATACTTTTTTTTTATACATACATTTTCCAAATTAGATCAGAAATCCATAATGGGATGATACAAAGTGAATTTTTCAGGCTGTAATTGGATAGCTTTCCGTCCCTGCGTTGGTCAGGTGTTGTTTTGCGGGGATGATGGGTAATAAATAAGGACTTTTCTCTGAGCTCGCAGAGAGTGGGGCTCTAGCTGAGAACATTAAAGCTAGTTTAAGGCAGCGTCCCTGTCAGCCAATAAGGAAAAGAGAAACTGACGAGAAAAAAAAAAACAAAACAAAATGAAAAAGAAAACAGAAGAACCTAATCACAAAATATCAGATGACACAACATAAACGATGGCATCCATTGTCTGGCCGAACCAAACGTAAAGAAATTGTACAAATTCACAAAGCATCATTTATCTTACAGATCTGACCAATATTTATCAAGAGCAAGATTGTTTAACCACAAAATCCCTCTGAAAAGGAGAATACCGGTGTCAGCCACATCCACAGCTTCATATTCCACTCAAACGGTTGACTTTTAACGCCTGGTTTTGCTTTTTTGTCCAAATTAACGGCTGTCAGGTCACAAAAACACCCAGCAAAGATGCAGATGTCGTGACAGCGCAGTGCGGAAGGCCGGAGAGCGAAAATGTTTTCTGAGATCTTGACATATTTACGTGTTTTGTGGTAACAAAAAGAAGAAAATCCATTTCAGATCATGACAAAAGATGCAAAGTTTTGTGAGCTTACGAGCTGAAATCATGACTCTCTTCATGTTCTAGTGGAATATATATTTTTTTTAACCATTTCTTTCCGTTGCTAAGACGAGTCTGAAATGAAGCAGAGCTGACAAAATAAAAAGTTCCTTCGTGGATCATCTCGCTTGGTTGCTTTTGCAGTTGTGAAAAACCAGAAGAGGCTGTGATATCTGCAGCTATGCCGACTGTGATCGCAAAAGGAAAAAGCAGGATTGTTGGCACAAGCTTCAGAGAAAAAACAAGAGACACAACACCGGTATTCTCCTTTAATGCTCCCACACGAATTCCCGACCCGACGTCTCCAAAGGCTCGTCTCATGTCACTAACTCCAGCGTCCTCCTTCCTGCCTAAAACTGACCCGACGTTGCTTTAAACCAACCACCATGAGGCGTCTCATTTAGTCGAGTTAAAGGAATGGAGGACGTGCGGTCGGCGAACACGAGACGAGCCTCAAGTCTTCCCAACGACAGCTCGGAGAAGACCAAAAAACATTTTTTTTGTTTTTTTTTTTGCAAAGAAACACTTAGAATTTTTTATTTTTATTTTTTTTTCTTCAACTTGACATTATTTATAGAAAAAGAAGTAGTTTATCCAGCCCCCCCTCCCCGCGACCCTCCCAGCCCCCCGGTCCTCTGGTCTCAGGAGCTGGAGGGGTTGGGCAGGTCGAACACGATGGGAGGGTTGGTGGGCTGGAAGCTGACGGTGCAGGTCGACGCGTTGATGAACGTCGTGTAGCCGTCCGTCATGATCCCGTACCCTGGGCAGAGGGAGACACAGGCGTCACACACAGGAGGTCCACAACAAATCATTTGCACAGTGTACTGATAGTACTTCCAGGAAGTCTTAACCTCCATTTATCTGGATGGACTTCACCTTTTAAACTCAGCATTTTCTGGCCATTTCTGCTCACTTGTTTCACTACAACATAAAGTCCTGCTGCTCCACGCAAACATCACAACCACGACCAGAAGCAGAGAGCTCAGAGATGACTTTTATAACAAAGCTATGAAGCCACATATCATTAAAAAAAAGAGACAAAAACTGAGTTGAATTTCTTTTTAAGCCTTACAAACATTTTAAAAACATGTACAATCATTTTCCAGGAGTCACCAATACTGCAAAGAAATAAGATTTTACTATTTATATTCTCATAGCGTCCACAAACTCTGCGTGTTTCTCTCCACTCTGCACATCAGCTGTAGAAGAATGTGTCACTGCTCTGGATGCATCTTCTGTTCACTGTTTTTGAGTCATGCTGCATTTATTTGATCAATTAAGTAGGTTGTACTTTGCTCTCGATCTCTTGTTTTTGTTTCCACTTGTCTGCCTCGGCTGTACCTTGTGCTAATGCTAATTAGCAAACACTAGCCTGCCAACACACCAAACTAGGATGGAGAACACAGCACACACTGTACCTGCACATCATCAGCTCTCTTATGTTGGTATTGTCAGCAAGCATCATTTTAAGACTATTTCTTGCTTATTTTTTCCGATGGAACCTCAAATCACACAAATATTTTCAGTTTCTACAGTTTCCAGCTCTTATAATTTGTGTAATTTGGGTGATTCTGTCGTTTTCCTTTAATCCCGACAGCAGATTTTGGGGTTCAGAGGGTTTAAACAGTTTGGATTTCAGGGTGAAAAAACGCCGATGAGCCCAAACGCTGTGACCACAGCTTCCTAAAATGCTGCCGGTGCTTCACATGTTGGAGCAGCAGCTGCTCTGAAGGACCTCATCTGGCGGCAAGACGTGAGCAGCAGATCCTTTAAGTCCGGTGAGTGGTGAGCTGGAGCGGCGCTGGATCAGACTTCTCCCAGCACAGGCCTCAACAACACCCCGTGGTCGGGTCGCGGTCCGTCCCTCCTCTTGGACCGCCGTCAGACCGAAGCAGAGCGCCACACAAGAGCTGACTTTTATCTTCAGACGAGGCCGTTTGTCCCGCGTCCAGCGCTGAGATCTGACTGCTCTCCTACCGTTAAATCCATCCCAGACCTTGACATGTGGTGTTGTTCTGAGATAATCAGTGTTTCATCAGCGAGCGGTCACAACGTTTTGGCTCATCAGCGTATGCGCATGTAATGTGGCTTCTGGACGTGAACACACAGCGCTGCGTTATCCTTAAAACCCCGACTTCAATGTTACTGCAGAGGAAGTTTAAAAAGGTTCTGAAGATTAATGCACAACTATTCTATTAGTGTTCATTTATAATTTACAGCTGCAACTAATGATGAGAAGTTTTACTCTTAATTAATCTGACGATGCTGATTTATTTTGCTTCTAAAACCTCAGAAAAAGTGGATAAATAACAACAGCCCACAATCTGAACAAGTTCAATCAGCCTCCATGTATGATGAGAAAAAGGATCAAACCCTCATAGTTAGAAATCTAGAAACAGCAAAGATTGGGCTTCAAAAAATTACTAAATCGATCATTTAATTATCAGAATAACTGCAGAATCATTTTCATCGACGACTCGTTGTAGTTCTAAAATAATTTTATTTATTAAAATTACAATAAAAACTTATTAGAGCTGCAAATAATGATTTTTTTCTATCATTAACCAATCTGCTGATTCTAGTCTTGATTTAATTATTTTTTTAAATATAAGAAAATGAGAAAAAAAGACAATTTCTCAACAATCAAAATCAGAAATGTGCTGATAAAAAGCATCAAATCCTCATATTTAGGAATCTAGAAACAGAAACTTATTTATTCAATAAACTAAATGATTGCAGGTTTACTTTCTGTCCACTTGTAGTTTTTAAAACAATTTGAATAAATTCAAATAACTATAAAAATTAAGGAGAAAATCTACTTACAGCACTTTTTTTTTTTGAGTAATTTGATTGAAGAATCCTAATTTTACGTCTCATTAGAGTTTCTTTGCACCAACAACTTCCAAATGTTCCTTTCTGGTCAAAAACTAAATTTCTTTTCACTCCACAAACCTCCTTCGTTGGTCCCTTTATTGTTTAAATTATTTTCCAGTCAGGTCACCAGAATAAATCAGATTCTATATTCTGGGTGTTGTTTTTATTCCCGGTACCTTCATGTATGCCTCCGAAGGCGTGAAGTTTGGGTCGCACCCTCTTCTGAACCGTGTTGAGCAGCTCCACACAGCCGACCCGCTGCAGCTCCTTGGGAACCCAGTCTCGGAACCCTGCGAGAAATATTCACATTAGTCGTTTTAAAACTGGCAATCAGGAGGAATGAATGTACAGAAGTGTGACGTGGAGGTAAAAGGAAGCAGCAGCAGAGAAGCCTCGCTGAGCATCAGTGAAGGGAGTCAGGATGAGCAAAATGGAAAAGAAAAGAAAAAAGAACAAATTGTGAACATGTTTTAATTCCTACAGCGAGTCTCAATCAGCACTTTTTTTTTTTTTGAATCTGGTTCATATCACATCCTGGCTCTGATTCTGCTCACACGGTTCCAGTCCTGAGACAATAAACAGTCGTTATGGAAATCAATAAACATCTTCTGCTTTGGTAAATTCATCCTGACGCGTGCTGTCGTTGGTCATAAACACTGAGGTGATGAGGTTTGACCAGTTTGTGGAGATCAGAAGCAGAAACCCTCTCGTGTGCTCAAGCTCAAAGTCTGCAGGTTGCTCTTGAGTTGGATGTTCCAGCTTCAGCAAGATGCAGACACGCTGAGTTCACGACAGCTTCTCTACATCTGCTGCAGTGATTCATCGGTTCTACTTCGCCGTCAGCTGTGGTTCTTGTCACTGTGTTCCGCCATGTTGTCAACAGAGGCACAGCTTTGGTGACAAATCGCTGGAAGTTCATCTTCATGTCATTTCTTCTTTGTTTGTATATTTTTGCTGAACAAATAGCTTTCGTTTGGCAAATTTTTAAACAAGATACGCAGCATGTCATGACTTTGAGCTGAGATTTGGGGACACATGGTTAATTCGAGGACCATCATATTGTTGTATTATTATTATTGTTGTATATAATATATGTTATATTGATTTTAAAAAAAAGTGAGCTTTTTACAAGATTGAATTTCCCTTCTGGGATAAATAAATAAAGTATTTTTCATTCATTCATTCATCAGGAAGTGGCTGCACTTCTTGTTTTTACAGTTTTGGGCTGATAAATGCTGTGATTTTGGTTGTTTATTTCAAAGAGTCTGTCCAACCTGCTGGCAGGATTTGGGGTTAAGAAGGTTTTAAAGAAGCAGATCTACACAGAAAGAGGACTGGAAGCTTTAAAAGCTAAGAGACAGAAACTCTCTCGTGTTGCCGTGCACAAGGTTACAATCTGTGGTTTAGATACAGGGACACTGATTTCACTACTTCTCTTTATTTTTGCTGCAATGACTCAGTGACTATATTTTACTCTAAGTGTCTGTTCTTGACAAATGCAAGGGCAGCTTTGGTGCAAAAAGTTTATTTTCAATGTGCCGGTTTTCTGTTTTTTTTCTACTTTGGAGCAGGATCGTAATCCTGAACCCTGCAAGTCAGTGAAAGCCTCACACTTGTTCATTTGCTGCCTTTTCATCTGAATTTTACAGGAATAAAATCTATCAAATGGAACGTCTTCTTTATATATTTCTTCCACAGTCGTGCAGCTCAGATTTTTTTTTTCTTCTTATTCCTTTCCCCCCATTTTGTCTGCTCCAGCTTTGGAGCGTCATCCCGCCTCCCTGCAGCCCTGCTCTGCTCTCCCATGGTCTCTCTCCAGTCGTTTGCGGCGTCTGTCACACTGCTGCGAAATCGAGTTTCCATGCAATCAAACGGCTACAGTGGCTGCTGCTGCTGCTGCTGCTGCCGTCGCAACACCAGCAGCCGCAGCAGCAGCATCATCAAGCCTCCGTAGGCGAAAGGGAAGGAAATCACTCAATAAAGCCAGATGGAGAGCACGAAACAAGCTGGGAAAAAACAACTGGGACCAAAACATCTAGAAGGAAAACCAAATCACTGGGTAGCGCGAGAAAAAAAAAACAAAAAAACACCCCAAACAATATGTACTTTCTTTTGTTGCAAATATTGAATTATGGAGCCGGATTTAGATGAAAACAGTCGATGATAAAGGAACACACACGGCTGCACAAACCCCCGGCCCTGCCCGCTGCGACGCCCCCGCTGACTCCACGCACACTCTGAATAATGAGGCGCAACTTCGTCAGATATGCTGATGAGGAGGGAGGGAGGGAGGCAGGGAGGGCTGTGATTGGTTAATTGGACTCACCGAGCGGCGGTCCGTGGGTCATCAGGATGTCGATGCCTTCGGGGACGAGGTTCCATTTATCCAGCAGAGACTGACCCCGAGGCAGGTTGAACCCCCAGCCGTTAAACCACGGAGTCCTGCGGAGACGGAGGGGGAGAGATCACATTAACATCACTCAGGAGACCAACCCCGACATTATTATGGCATAAAGCAGAAATTATATCAGGAGGCAATAATATGTTATTGGATTTCTGCAGGTTTTTCTTCTGCCCCCCCCCAATATAGCATCAATAAATAGCAGATGGAGAGTGTTGTTTTAAATGCATCTTGATCCTGTGTTTCGGTTAATAAATTCAATTCACTTGTAATCTATTTTTTTTAAAAAACTACATAAACACAAACAAAGAATAAATGCATTAAAATAGGTTTAATTTACAAATGAATCAAGCTGAGTAGAAAGTAGTGGTCACGCTTTTCACAAATAACCCAATATGTGCGATAAAAATGAAAATCATCAACACAAACGTTACTGAAAAGCCTTTATGTGTTGAACAAGGTAAACATCAGGTTGTGTAGGAGAACAGATACGACTATAGATACAGAGATCGGCTGCATCGGAGCCAAAAATGCGCATTTTTAAATTAATTTATCGGGAATCGGTTAAGAAGAAGAAAAAAAACAAACAACGACACCGATAATTGGAAAAATGCTGAATACTGTGATCCAATAATGGGCGAAGCTGACGATTGATCCCCAGCAAAGAGCATCACAAAGTCAAAGGGCTGCAAAGTGTCAGGGTCATACAAGAGCTGGACTCCTCGCTGCTGCTTTACTGTCAGACGTTGGGCAGGAATTCAGGGTGAAGCAGCTGCTGGAAGTCGTGCCACACACGACTTTGTTTAGTCAGACATTGGTCTTGATCGGCCACTTGACTTTTACCCATTTATTGGCTTGTTTAGGGTGAAAAGCTGCAGAAATCTACAACAGAGCAACCGTCCTCCAGGTCAGTCTGAAGGAATGAAGCAGTGACCCTAGAAGCTACTGACCTCTGGGTCTCTACATGCATGTACCTGCACACAGATGACGCACTTCAGCATTCATTTATCAGAGCGTTGTAGCTTAAAGAGCCCTCATTATGCACATTTACAGGTTTATAACTTTATTTTTGGGACCTACTAGAATATTATGACATACTTTAACGTTCAAAAACACATTATTTTACTCAGATTGTGCATTTCTGTTGCACCTTTTCTCACCATCTGTCTAAAACGCTCAGTTTTACCTCCTGTCTGCCCTGATTGGTCAGCCAACCCGACAAAAATAAAGTACTGCTGGTTATGTACTGTGCTCCCAGATCTGTGAGAATAAGGATGGAGCTAGGACGGCGGCTCTAGTGGGACAATAATGCTCTTTCCATCTTTGTGGGCCAAATTAGCTGCTTGGCAGGTGTTATGCAAATGTGTTACACGATGATGTAGATAAGCAACGGAAGACAGGCCCAGCCTTGAAATGAGGTGTTTCAGGCAGGAAAGGAGCAGTGTTTACTGGGGCGGACTTTGTTTTTTTATTTTAGGCTTGCAGAAATACCAAAGGAAAGAGAAAAACCAAACAAGCAGAACATGGGCTCTTTAAAACAAGTCCATGCTGGAAATGAGGTTGATGAGAGAAGTGATGCTGAAGCAAACTTAAAGATGCTAAAAAGCTACAGAGCACCAAGTTATTTCATTTGATTTTAAAATAGATAAACTAAAAAACAAACACTGCAATGCTACAGTTAACTATGCAGAAAACAGGGCTGTATGCTTTTTGTTTTGCAAATATTTTCTTGTACTGCAATGAAAGTAAAGTTCACCTTTAAACACAAACATTTCAGTAAACGTGAAACCTACAATCCTGTCAATGCCACATCAAGATGCAACAGACTACGTGATCACTGGAGTACCGCTGCAGGTTACCTCCAGCATGCAGCGCTAACGCTTACTTGCCACTAACAGCAGTTCATCCGTCAGCAGGGAGCGCTCGGTTTGATGCACCAGATCAGGTGCTTTAAATTCTGAGAGTCGCAGTTAAGACTAATTAATTTCAGAAGCCACAACTCGACGACTGACTGCGCAGGCTTGGTTGAAGAGAGGGGAAGGGAAAAAAAAAAAAAAAGGAAAAAAAAAAGCGAATTTCTAAGCAGCAGGGAGCCACATCATGTGTCAACCCCCACTCCCTCTGCTGCACATCCACAGATTGATTGACAGCAGCCGGGGCCACCTCCAGCAGCCTGGATGGGAGTCTGCATCTCCAGGGTGACAGGCAGCATCTCAGCCTTCCCCGGCAGACACAAAGAAAGCCTCGATGTGGCTGAGTGGGAACGCGGGAGGGACGGATGGATGGATGGATGGATGGACGGATGGGTGGATGGATGGAAGGGTGCAGGGGGGTGAAAACAGATGAAGAAATAAAGTGAACTGTACAGAGGTTAGATATGGGAGTGGAGCCGTGGAAACCAAAGGGAGAAAAAGAAATTGAGTAGAGGCTGGTTGATAAATTGAGCCTTCATTTATCACAATAGTGGTAATGGCAGAAGAAGGCTGACAACAGAGGAAAGGAAGATAGATTATCATCACATAATACCTCAGTATATAAGCTGACCTACTGCCGCAATCCCAGAAAGAAGCCTTTTCATTTTAATTCGAGGTTTGCAGCGCAGTGCAGCAGAGTCACTGATGAAAAGATGATTTCGCCTCCGTTTTTTTTTCCTTTATTCTTTATTCCCGGGTTACTTTGGGACAGAGTTTAGAGCAGCTTCCAGTCACTTAGTGATGGTGCAGCGTATGGTATTTGACCGAGGGGAAATCAGGGCTCCACAAACATCAATAGGCTTTGTTACAGTGAAGGATGGACGCTCCAGCGCTAATCAATACCTACTGTTCCACGGGAGGGCCGAGCGGGGCTAACCAGAGCCAGAGCAGACTCAAGATGTGTAAAACATGAGATCCCCCTCCAAGGTTCATTTCAAAACACAACCGAGCACCTAAACTATCGCTGCTGAAAATGAGGAGCCCCCTCCCACTCCCCACCCAACCAAAAAAATCCCATTAATTCAGCACAGCGAGAGAAAACAAGCCTCGTAAATGCAGCTCAACCTGTTTGGAGTATCGAGTGTTTGTGCGCTCAGACAAAAAGGCGGCGGCGGCGGTGGCAGACCCGGAGCTCGCTCTTTGATTTGCTCGCTCAGTCGTTGCCTCGTTCTCTCGCTCGGTGGAGAGCTGAGAAATGAGGTTAAAAATGAAATGTGAGGAGCGCGCAGGGGAGTGAAGGCCACAGACTGAACTGATTAATTAGAACTAATCACACAAATCGGAGCTAATGGAAGTCTAATGGATTACTGGGAGGACTCCTCGGATGGAAATAGCGCTGCGGCCGCGATGTGGAGAAACTTAGAAAGCGGTGAATCAGAGCAGAGCTGCTCCGGCCGCAGAAAAGCAGCAAAGCAGCGGCGGGGCATGTCTGGCTTTGACTAATGGCGACGAGGGCCAAACTTTGAAAAATGGCCGAACGCCTCCATTCCCCGCCTCCTCTTCTACCCGCCTCCGTTCCTCATTCAGAAAAAATAAATCGCGGCTCCTCGCAGCAAAAATAAATAAACAGCTGGAGCCTTGATTTTGCTCTGTGTTTCACATGTTTTCTCCCGCATAAACACATTCATCTGGGGGATGAAACATAACCCCCGACATGAGCCGCGGATCCGGAGCCAAGCAAAAGGTCCTGACTGAATGCAGAGCGGCCCCGACGCCACAATGGCCCCATTGTCGGCTGTCTGCCTATGAAATATACCTTCCATGCAAGTGCATTTGTTAACCTCCGCCAAGATTAATGACATCCCGGTCACATAAAGGAGAAATTGTTTCCTGTGTGGCTGTGACACGGGTTTTATTATACTGTACCGGGTGTGTGTGAGTAGTGCGTCTGAACACAGTGTACCGCTGCCAGTCTGCTCTCCGTCGGCGTATACGCGTGCAGACCGACCGGCGTGCGTGTTGTGATCGGGCTACATTCAGAGCCCGGTCTTGCCTTGACACTCGCCATCTGGAGAGTGTCGCCGTGGCAACAAAGGAGAAGCGTCTGGAGGCAAAGCACAGTGGGAAGTGAAACACCGAAATAGAAGCAGAAGTAAGAGAAGGAGAAACGGAGAGAGGAGGGAAGGAAGGAAGGAAGGAAGGAGAGCAGAACTTCACCTTTTGGAAGATTTTGGCACAACTGTGTTACTTAGAGCTGCAATGATTAATTGGCTACCATTGGTCTAAAGGTTTTCTGATGTTTTTCTGTCACTGACACCCAAAATATCGCGAAACTGGGTTCAAGACTCCACAACAATAATGTTAAAGCTCCAGTGATTAATTAGTTATTCCCTAAAATCAATCATAGCTGTTTTAGGAAAGTTTCCAGCTTCATAAACGTGACTATTTTCTGCTGTCTTTCCTCAGCTGTAAGAGTTAACTGACAATCTTTGAGGTGAGGACAAAATATTTCTTTATAGACGATGAAACGAACCTACTAATATGAATTAACAATGAAAATAGTCCTACTTCTAGTGCTTTAATGGCACCGAACAGACACTGGCTGATGGTGGAAGTGCATCATACTGATACGATAACACTGTGTTACTTAGAGCTGCAATGATTGATAAGTTACCATTCGTCTGAAGGTTTTCTGATAATTTTCCTCGTTGACACCCAAAATATCTTAAAACTGGGTTCAAGATTCCATAACAATAATGTTAAAGCTCCAGTGATTAACTAGCTATTCCCTAAAATCAATTGTAGCAGCTACAGTAAAGTTTTAAGAGTCTAAATCCTCAGATACTAGCTACATAAATGTGAATATTTTCTGCTGTCTTTCTTCAGCTACAACAGTTAACTGACTATCTTTGAGTTGTGGACAAAATATTTGTCATTTTAGGCTTTGGGAAACACCGACAGAGAATTTTCAGCATTTTTACACTTTATAGACGATGAAACGAACCTACTAATATGAATTAACAATGAAAACAATCCTACTTCTAGTGCTTTAATGGCACCGAACAGACACTGGCTGATGGTGGAAGTGCATCGTTAATAGTTAATAAATGGGTTGTCAATGATTACAA